GTAAAAAAAAATAAAAAAAAATTTCCCATTTTTAAGTATAATCATGCAAACTAATCTCGTACGTAAAATTGCAGGAAATGAAAACGCAAGGTGCGACAGAAGACAAACTCGAACTTTTAAAGGGTGTGAGTGGAGCTTTCAGGCCAGGTGTGCTTACAGCTCTCATGGGAGTAAGTGGGGCCGGGAAAACAACGTTAATGGACGTCCTAGCTGGCAGAAAGACAGGTGGATATATCGAAGGAAATATCACAATTTCTGGTTACCCGAAGAATCAGTCAACATTTGCAAGAATATCCGGATATTGTGAACAAAACGATATTCATTCTCCCAATGTCACAGTTTACGAGTCCCTCGTTTACTCGGCTTGGTTGAGACTGCCTTCGGATGTCGACGCAGAAACAAGAAAGGTAAAATATACTGCGATTACGCCACTCTATAACGAAACTTCACTACTATTATTAAATTATTAATTTTTTTTGTTTAATTTTATTATTATAGACGTTTATTGAGGAGGTGATGGAACTAGTGGAACTTACTCCGTTGAGAGGTTCGTTAGTTGGATTGCCCGGAGTAACCGGGCTTTCGACTGAGCAGAGGAAAAGGCTTACGATAGCAGTAGAGCTTGTGGCGAACCCTTCGATTATTTTTATGGACGAACCAACTTCTGGTCTCGATGCAAGAGCTGCTGCTATAGTAATGAGAACTGTTAGAAATACCGTAAACACGGGAAGAACAGTTGTGTGCACTATCCATCAGCCTAGCATCGACATATTCGAAGCATTCGACGAGGTAAAAAAGCTAGATCACAACACAATATTTAATTTTTAATTTTTCGGGTTTATTGCGTACAGCACCCCCGTGTTATTTTAAAAACAAAAAAAATCCCTATACACATGGGTACTAAATGCTATAAACTCTCTCATCTGTGCATATATAAGTTATACTAAAGATGAGATGAATTTTTATTTTTTTGGCAGCTATTTTTGATGAAAAGGGGAGGAAAAGAAATATACGTGGGGCCATTGGGTCGTCAATCGATCCATTTGATCAAATACTTTGAATCAATCGAAGGAGTACCGAAGATTAAAGACGGTTACAATCCAGCAACATGGATGTTGGAAGTCACTACTTCTGCGCAAGAACTCGTCTTGGGTGTCGACTTTACTGACCACTACAGAAACTCCGATCTCTACACGTGAGTTCATTTTTCCTCCATCTATTAAAAAAAAATTACGAGTATAAATGCTAATAAATCTCGAATTGAATTAATTACAGACGGAACAAGGCCCTAATCAAGGAATTAAGCGTCCCTCAACCAGGCACAAAGGATCTTTTTTACCCGACGAAATATTCCCAATCTTTTTTCATGCAATGCGTTGCTTGCCTTTGGAAACAACACTGGTCTTACTGGAGGAACCCACCTTACACGGCGGTTAGATTCGTGTTCACAACATTCATAGCCCTTGTATTCGGAACGATCTTTTGGGACTTGGGATCTAAATGGTAAGTCAACAAAAAAAACAAAAAAAAAACACAAAAAATTTCGACATGTCGAAAAATCTCGCCCTAACAAATATTTTTTCGTGATTGCAGGAAAACTCAACAAGATCTGTCCAATGCAATGGGTTCTATGTACACCTCTATTCTCTTTTTAGGGTTCCAATACGGTTCCACGGTACAACCTGTAGTAGCCATTGAAAGAACCGTCTTTTATCGAGAAAGAGCAGCTGGGATGTATTCAGCTTTACCATACGCATTCTCACAGGTGAGTGTGTGACGACACCAAAAAAGAAAAAAAAAAGAGCAGTCCCTACTTTAATCTTTCAATAAAAAAGTTATCGAAAATTCGGAATTACTTAACAGTCTATTTAAATTTCAACGCGTGCAGTTTCTCATCGAAATTCCTTACGTATTCGTACAATCGCTAATCTACGGTGTGATAGTCTACTCAATGATGGGATTCGACTGGACGGCCGAGAAATTCTTCTGGTTCATATATTTCATGTTCTTCTCGTTACTGTACTTTGTCCTATACGGAATGATGACTGTAGCTGTGACACCAAACCACAACATTGCCGCCATCATTTCTTCTTTCTTCTACTCGCTATGGAATCTTTTCTCGGGATTTATCATCCCACGACCAGTAAGTTTCCTTTCTTCTATGTTAGCAACACATTTTTTTTATTACCGCGTAAAATTGATTCACTAACACGTGTGATAAAATACGACAGAGAATCCCTATTTGGTGGAGATGGTACTATTGGGCGACACCATTGTCTTACACTCTGTACGGGTTGTTAGTGACTCAATTTGGAAAAATTCAGGAACCAATGGATAGTGGAGTTACGGTTGAACAGTTCTTGAAGGATTATTACGGGTTCGAGTACGACATGCTTGGAATGGTTGCGGGTATACTTCTCGGATTTGTTGTGCTTTTCACTTTCATCTTCGCCTATTCTATCCGAGCATTCAACTTCCAGAGGAGATAAAACTACTCTAGTTTTTTTCAATTTTTTTCTACTATTTAATTATTTGATTTTAGGGAAATTAAAGGTTTGCTGAAGTTGTAATATTAAGTTGGCTTTCTTATGTAATATTAGAATATCTAAGAGAGTGAGTCCTATACATTTTTCAAATACAAGTCTTTACTACTACAAAGTTTCCTCCATAGTTTATAGATATCACAAAAATTTATTCTGTTTTTTACCTCAAGAATGAAAACACATCACAATATCTACCATTTTTAAGGGAAAATTACGGCCACCTACTGAGCTAAGGTCAAATTACAAAAATACCCCTCCTATTGGGGTAATTACAACCAGCCGTCTACTATGAATCTTCTTACACGTCTACCATTGCGGTGTCAAATTTAGTGGAATCTTCTAGATTATGTGGAATATTCTTCAGTTTGTATCCGTTTTACCCCATTCGAGCTACACATTATCAAACAAGATGATCGTAAGATTTGTCTATTGGCTTGTATATATCAGATTATGGTGCACTAAGAAACTACATATTGTTGCACAAAACGAGTACAAACTAGAAAACATTCCACATAATCTAGAATATTCTATTGAGTTTGACACCATAAGGATGAATGTGTAAGAAAACTCATAGTTGACGGGCGTGTTTGTAATTACCCAAACATGAGGGCTATTTTCGTAATTTGACCTTATCTCTACCGTAATTTACCTTTTTTATTTTTTCTAAATGCAGAAACATAAATGCAGCAAAATTCATCACAATCAATCATGAAACCCCTCGATCTAAATTCGTCGTTATCTCACAACAGAACCCAAACACATTATTGAAAGAAAAAAAAAAAGATCGCAGAAAAGCAATGCTTAAATTGCAAGTCTAAGAAGACGGAGTTAACATACCGTGAATTCGGAAGTAAACGCAGCGATCAAATATTGTGACTGTGCCTCAGATCATTGTAACGGAAACCTTAATTCAGTAATGGAAATTTGGGGACGAAAGGGAAGTTAGGGCACGATATACGACGTCGTTTATAATTATTTCTCGGTGGAAGATGTTTTCCAAGTTTATAATTGTTTTAATTTTTTTTTTAAATCTTGTAAAATGTTCACAAAATTATAAATATCAATAAGTGTTGCTCTTTGATTAAATTTATGGAGAAAAACTTATAAGTTATAAGTCATATAAAAAGATGGTTTATTTTATTTCTATGTTAAGTCCCGTTAAAATTATATTTTGTGGATTTTAATCGCTGATCTACACACACTAATGTGTATGTATATGTATATGTATGTGTGTGTATGAATGATAAAATTATATACACAATAATATATTTCTTTGTAGCATTTTATTTTATTTGCCATTGTTGACAGGTTAATATTATAGTATTATTTATGAAATAATAATTTATAACATAGTGATTTTTTTGTGTTAATATTATAGTTTACTATGTTGGTAATAATATAACAATATTGCTGTGTTAAACCAAAATACAACTAATTTTGTTGTCAACTACAGTAATTTATTAGTTTACCAGGACAAAAAAATGTGGGAAAAGAAAACAAATTTCAAAAAAGAAAATAAAAATATCAACGCCGCCGGAGACCTGCGTTGACCGCCGACGACATTCAGCGACAATGTCAGAAAAAAAGTTTTCAACAAAAAAAAAAAAAAAAAAAGTCAACAGCGACGACGGTCAAAATTAATTTGAGTTAAAATTGGGTTAAGAATTAAAAGTAAATAACTGGTGAAATTGGGGTCAAAGAAATGAAATTAAAATATTTTAAAATGTGAGAGGGTATTTTAGTCATTTGCCATCTTTAGAATTTTGCTTGAGTTCTTTGTAAATTTTTTTAGAAAAAATGGATCTAAATTGGAATAAATTGCCCATCACAGACCTTATTTATAATAACCGCCACTTGAAATTAAGTTATATATATATAAGAAGGTTCCCTCACTAAAATAATTCGAGACTTGGTAGTTGGTTGTAAATTTCAGAGACTGGTCAACTGTCTGAAATTTACCTTCTCGAATATTGATATTTCGCACGTATACATATAAAAAATAAATAAATAAATAATAATAAAAAAAAAATATCTCGAGGACTAACAGATCCAGAATTTTAAATTCGTAAAGTTTTCTGATTGGAAGACCGTTAAAAAAATTATATTTCTATTATAGAGTTAAGAAAAATTGAGAAATATTGGGGGCCGTAGCCCCCTAGGACTTATGCTGACTCCGCGCGCCACTAATCTCGAGTTAAGTTTATTTCATACCACAGTAAAATAAAAATAAAAATAAAAATAAAAATAGAAAAAAGGAATGCACAAGGCAATTGTAGTAGTGTGTGTGTTCAAAGTTGGAATTTCTCTTTTCCACCCTAATTTTCTAAACGAGAAAGGTCAAACGTGGAATGGAAGTTTCAGCGCCACCTTTGAATTTTCACAACACACACACATATATATATATGTATATGTATATATATAACAATTAATTCCCAGCATCAACAAAACAAACAAACTGATTCTTTTGCGCCTGCATTCTTGGAAAATCTCTTACACCCACTCGATATATAGATAGTTCTTTAAATTTTCTTGTTTTGCTGCAGCTGCATTTTATGGTCTGATTAAAGAATAAAAAAAAGAAATGGATACAAGTGGTGACGTGTACAAAGCAGGAGGTAGTTTCAGAGCAAACAGTTCAAGCATATGGAGAAACACGGGCATGGAGGTATTCTCTCGATCCTCTCGGGAAGAAGACGACGAAGAAGCTTTGAAATGGGCTGCCCTCGAGAAGCTCCCGACTTTCGATCGTCTCCGAAAAGGGCTTCTCTTCGGATCGAAAGGCGCTAACGAAATCGACGTCAACGATCTTGGAGTTGAAGATAAGAGGAGTTTGGTCGAACGCCTTGTTAACACCGTTGAAGATGATAACGAAAAGTTTCTTTTGAAGCTCAGAAATCGAATCGACAGGTGGCTTTTTTTTCTTAAGGTTTTTTTTATATAATGAATTTGTAATAATGTTTTTTTCGTGTTCGTGTTTTTTTTCGCAGAGTCGGGATTGATATACCGACGATTGAAGTGAGATACGAGCATTTGAATATCGGTGCGGAAGCATATGGTCAAAGTAGGGCTTTGCCTACTTTCATTAACGCCAACATCAACACGATTGAGGTAATTAATTAAAATTATAAAAAAAAATACCTTTTTTTTCGACGTTCGTCACCATAACACGTACACTTAAAAAGAAACGAAGAGAACATAATTCGTAATAATTACGATTGTGAATATTTTTTATTTGTAGGGAATATTGAACTCACTACACATACTTCCAAGTAGAAAGAAGCCATTTACAATCCTTAAAGATGTGAGTGGAACCATCAAACCATGCAGGATGACTTTGCTTTTAGGTCCTCCAAGTTCCGGCAAATCCACTTTGTTGCTCGCTTTGGCCGGAAAGCTCGACCCATCTCTTCAAGTAAATACCAAATTTTTTTTTTCAATTTTTATCTTTTCCGGTTACTCATTTCTAATAAATGAAATTAAATTTTTATTAATAGGTTTCGGGGAGGGTGACTTACAATGGGCACACGCTAGAAGAATTTGTACCACAAAGAACAGCAGCGTATATAAGTCAACACGATCTTCATATCGGAGAAATGACTGTTAGAGAAACTTTGGCCTTTTCGGCTCGATGCCAAGGTGTTGGCTCCAAATTCGGTTAGTCTACAATTACTTATGTTACTGTTTTTTTTTAATTAGTTCCGATCTCCACTGGATAAAAGTGTACTAAATAATTCGTTCGATAATTTAATAATTAGTTCTGAAATGTTTTCACAGAGATGCTGGCGGAATTGTCGAGGAGGGAGAAAGCAGCAAACATTAAACCAGATCGCGACGTTGATATCTATATGAAGGTACAATAATTATATGTATAAATATATATGTATATAAATACTAAAAATAAATGTATGTATAATTATTCGTCTAGATACTAATTATATTTAATTGATTTATATTTGCAATTTCCAATAAATGTAGGCTGCAGCTACTGAAGGAGATGAAGCAAATGTAGTCACAGATTACGTTCTCAAGGTATTAATTACAAACTTCTATAAAAAAAAATCGAGAATTTCGATAAAACCGACACTTTCAACACCAAAAAGTTCTAAATAAATCCTGTTTTTAACTTACCAGGTTCTTGGGCTCGACATTTGTGCCGACACTTTAGTCGGAGATGAAATGGTACGAGGTATTTCTGGTGGACAGAAAAAGCGTGTCACAACCGGTAAGATTACTTAAAATAAATAAATAATAAATGAATTTAAACAAATACTGATTAATTTTATGGAAAAAATAATCACAGGAGAAATGCTGGTTGGACCAGCAAAGGCACTTTTCATGGACGAAATATCGACCGGATTAGATAGTTCGACGACTTTCCAAATAGTCAACATGCTTCGACAATACGTACACATTATGAAAGGAACCGCGTTTATCTCACTGCTCCAGCCAGCACCTGAGACTTACGATCTTTTCGATGACATCGTGCTCTTAGCCGACGGTCGGATCGTTTATCAGGGCCCACGAGAAAATGTGCTCGAGTTTTTCGAGTCCATGGGTTTCAAATGCCCGGCAAGAAAAGGAGTAGCCGATTTCCTACAAGAGGTAAGCAAAAACAAAAAACCAAAAAAAAAAAAAAAAAAAACCAATAATCTAATTGTCAAAAACTCCCCATATTATAAATATTAGCAAAACGACCCGTATAATTCAATTTTATTCGCAAATTAACCCCTAAAAACGCATCATTTAGTTAGCAAATTTTCTAATACAAAATTAATCTATATGCAGGTGACATCGAAGAAAGATCAACAACAATACTGGTCGAGAAAAGACGAGCCCTACCAATTTGTCCCCGTCAGCGAATTCGCAGAGGCCTTCCAATCGTCCGCCGTTGGCCGACGAGTCGGCGATGAGCTGGCAATTCCGTACGACAAGACTAAAAGTCATCCAGCCGCGTTGACCACGAAAAAATACGGCCTGGGTGAAAAGGAGCTCCTAAAAGCGTGCAGTGACCGAGAATACTTGCTGATGAAGAGAAACTCGTTCGTTTACTTCTTCAAGATCTTCCAACTTACGGTGATGGCACTCATAGCCATCACTATTTTTCTGCGAACGGAGATGAAAAGAGATACTATAGCCGATGGAGGGATATATACGGGTGCACTTTTCTTCACCGTAACTATGGTCATGTTTAACGGAATGTCGGAGCTTGCAATGACTATTTATAAGCTTCCCGTTTTCTATAAGCAACGGGATATGTTCTTCTTTCCTCCGTGGGCGTACGCACTTCCTTCTTGGATATTGAAAATACCCATCACGTTTGTTGAGGTTGCTATTTGGACGTTTCTCACTTACTACGTGATTGGATTTGATCCGAATGTGGGAAGGTTGTTGAAGCAATACTTGCTACTTTTACTCGTGAATCAGTCAGCAGGGGCACTGTTCAGATTCATCGGTGCAGCTGGTAGAAATATGATTGTTGCAAACACATTCGGCTTGTTTGCCCTGCTCATGCTTTTCGCTCTAGGTGGAATTGTCCTAGCACGAGGTACAGAAGAAAAAGAAAATTGATAAATAAATCTATCTTATGTAATTAATAACACGGTTTTTCATGTTTCATGACACTCGTTTTTGTTTTTTGGTTACGGCAGAGGATGTAAAGAAATGGTGGATATGGGCATTTTGGTCATCTCCTATGATGTATGCTCAGAATGCAATTATCGTTAATGAATTCACAGGGCATAGCTGGAGCAAAGTAAGTCGAAAAAACTCTTTCTCGATCCTTTTTTTTTTTTCTGAACTTTTAAATCTAATCAAGAACGCTACCGTTTTTATAGTTGGTAAACGGAACGAAATTAGGAGTTCTGGTGATGGAATCTCGAGGCTTCTTTCCTCAAGCATATTGGTTCTGGATTGGAGCAGGGGCGACATTCGGTTTCATTATTCTATTCAACATCTTTTACCTTTTATCTCTCACATTTCTCGACCGTAAACGTTTTTTTTTTTTTTTCCTTGTTTCTTTTTCTAATATTTTTTTACTTAATTTATTAATATTTACATGTAAAAAAACTAAACATTGCAGCTTTCGATAAAACTCAAGCTGTATTACCTGAAGAAAACGAAGAAGCCTCTGTACGCCGAGTTTCAGCTCAAGGCCTCTCTTCCGGTTCTTCATCCACAAGAACAGACGCAATTGAAGCCAATGCAAACCAAAAGAGAGGAATGATTCTTCCCTTCGAACCCCATTCTCTCACCTTTGATGACATCACATACTCCGTCGACATGCCAGCTGTACGTTAATAATAAATAAAAACCCGTTTCAAGTATAGAACAATCACGCAAACTAATCTCGTACGAAAAATTGCAGGAAATGAAAGCGCAAGGCGCGGCAGAGGACAAACTCGAGCTTTTAAAGGGTGTGAGTGGAGCATTCAGGCCAGGTGTGCTTACAGCTCTCATGGGAGTAAGTGGGGCCGGGAAAACAACGTTAATGGACGTCCTAGCTGGCAGAAAGACAGGTGGATATATCGAAGGAAATATCACAATTTCTGGTTACCCGAAGAATCAGTCAACATTTGCAAGAATATCCGGATATTGTGAACAAAACGATATTCATTCTCCCAATGTCACAGTTTACGAGTCCCTCGTTTACTCAGCTTGGTTGAGACTGCCTTCAGATGTCGACGCAGAAACAAGAAAGGTAAAATATACTTCGATTACGCCACTCTATAACGAAACTTCACTACTATTATTAAATTATTTTTTTTAATTTAATTTTATTATTATAGACGTTTATTGAGGAGGTGATGGAACTAGTGGAACTTACACCGCTGAGAGGTTCGTTAGTTGGATTGCCCGGAGTAACTGGGCTTTCGACTGAGCAGAGGAAAAGGCTTACCATAGCAGTAGAGCTTGTGGCGAACCCTTCGATTATTTTTATGGACGAACCAACTTCTGGTCTCGATGCAAGAGCTGCTGCTATAGTAATGAGAACTGTTAGAAACACCGTAAATACGGGCAGAACAGTTGTGTGCACTATTCATCAGCCTAGCATTGACATATTCGACGCATTCGATGAGGTAAAAAGCTAGATCACAACACACTTTTTTTTTGCATTCAGCACCTCCGTATTATTTTAATAGCAAAAAACTCCCTGACGATTTAATTGTCTTAGCAAATTGCTCCCTAAAAATTCACTATTTAGGGGGTCTGTGCCAAACAAAAAAAAAACCCTATGATTCTATTTTTTTTTTAGCAAAATTCTTACAAACATATTAGCAATTCGATAAAACACAACGGTATTAAATGCAATAAATTCTGTGCGACAAATTAAGTTCTGTGCATATATGAGTTACTAAAGATAAGATGATTTTTATGCAGCTATTTTTGATGAAAAGGGGAGGAAAAGAAATATACGTGGGGCCATTGGGTCGTCAATCGATCCATTTGATCAAATACTTTGAATCAATCGAAGGAGTACCGAAGATTAAAGACGGTTACAATCCAGCAACATGGATGCTCGAAGTCACTACTTCTGCCCAAGAACTTGTCTTGGGTGTCGACTTTACTGACCACTATAGAAACTCCGAACTCTACACGTCAGTCGATTTTTCCTCCATAGATTAAATAAATAATTATCAATGTTTTTTAGATAATGCTTATAATCTTAAACTAATTACAGACGGAACAAGGCACTAATCAAGGAATTAAGCGTTCCTCAGCCAGGCACAAAGGATCTTTTTTACCCGACTAAATATTCACAATCTTTTCTCACTCAATGCATTGCTTGCCTTTGGAAACAACACTGGTCGTACTGGAGGAATCCACCTTACACGGCGGTTCGATTCGTGTTCACGACACTCATAGCTGTTACATTCGGAACTATCTTTTGGGACTTGGGATCTAAATGGTAAGTAAAAAAAATATATATATATATATTCAAACATGTCGAAAAATCTCGCCCTAACTAATTTTTCGTAATAAATAATGAAAACTTGCAGGAAAACTCAACAAGATCTGTCAAATGCAATGGGTTCTATGTACACTTCTATTCTCTTTCTAGGGTTCCAATACGGCTCCACGGTACAACCTGTGGTAGCGATTGAAAGAACCGTCTTTTATCGAGAAAGAGCAGCTGGAATGTATTCAGCTTTACCATACGCATTCTCACAGGTCAGTGTATGACAAAAAATAAAACAAAAAAAAAAAGAAAAGAAACTCTACTGTGATCTTTAAATCTAAAAATTTATTTCAACGTGTGCAGTTTCTCATCGAAATCCCATACGTATTCGTCCAATCGCTAATCTACGGTGTGATAGTCTACTCAATGATGGGATTCGACTGGACAGCCGAGAAATTCTTCTGGTTCTTATATTTCATGTTCTTCTCGTTACTGTACTTTGTCCTATACGGCATGATGACTGTGGCTGTCACACCGAACCACAACATTGCCGCCATTGTCGCTACTTTCTTCTACTCGCTATGGAATCTTTTCTCGGGATTCATTGTACCACGACCAGTAAGTTTCTTTTAACGACACATTTTTTTTTATTACTATTACAGCATAAAATTAATCTACTAACACGTGTAATAAAATATGACAGAGAATCCCTATATGGTGGAGATGGTACTATTGGGCAACACCGTTGGCTTACACTCTGTACGGATTGTTAGTGTCACAATTTGGAAAAATTCAGGAACCAATGGATAGTGGAGTTACGGTTGAACAGTTCTTGAAGGACTATTACGGGTTCGAGTACGATATGCTAGGAATGGTTGCGGGTATACTTCTCGGATTCGTTGTGCTTTTCACTTTCATCTTCGCCTATTCTATCAGAGCATTCAACTTCCAGAGGAGATAAAACTACTATTTTTTTTATTTTACAACTATTTATTAATTGTTTTTTTAAGGAAATAAAAGGTTTGTTTATGTTGTAATATTTTCAGTTGGCTTTCTTGTGTAATATTCGAACATCAAATAGAGTGAGTTCTATCCACATTTTAATCTCAATTTATTTATTTTAATTTTGACTTTAATTTTTGGTTCCCAGCTTAAGAATGAAAACACAGCAGAATGGTAAAGAAACAGAAATATCACAAATTTCATCACAATTCAAAATCAAACTGCAAATATATCATTAATCCCTTCATCCAAGTTCTTCGTTATCTCACAACGAAAAACACACCACATTATTTAAAAAAAATTAAAATAAAATAATAATAATAATAATAATAAAAGGATCGCAGTTCGCAGAAAAGCAGTACTGAAATTGCAAGTCTAAGAAGGCGCAGTTAACATACCGTGCATTTCAATGGAATCGGAAGTTAATTCAGCCAATAAATACTCCACTCTGCAACTGAGCCTCAGATCATTGTAGTCGAAATCTAAATTCGGTATGGAAATTTGGGGACGAAAGGAAAGTTAGGGCAAAAGATACGGTGTCGTTTTTGCACGCAGTGAAAACATCAGCCGTAAAGCTGTTAGCAGTTAATTTTAGGGTAAATTACAATCACCCCCCTGAGGTGTTGTCAAATTACAAACAACCTCCTCTTGTTTGGATATTTATATTTAACCCCCTCAACTATGAATTTTCTTATACCTCCACCCTTATGGTATCAAATTCAACGTAATCATCTAGATTTCGTGTAATGTTCTCTAGTTTGTACTCGTTTTGTGCAAAAATTACAGTTTTTTATGCACCCCAATTCGATATATACAAGCCAAAAAACACGTCTTATGATCATCTTGCTTCAAAATGTGGAGCTTGAATATGATAAAACGGAAACAAAATTGAGTATGTTCCATATAATCTAGAAAATTCAACTAAATCTGAAACCGCAAGGGTGGATGTGTAAAATGATTTATAGTTGAGGGAATGCTTGTAATTATCCTTAATTTTAATATATTTGAAGCTCAAACTTAAAATGGGCTTTTGATTTCATTAAAATTATAAAAATCATGATAAAGTTAAGAGGGTAAATTACGACGTCCCTGATGTAATGTCAAATTACGACAAAATCCTTCATGTTTGGCTATTACAGCAATCCCGCAACTATGAATTCTTACACGTATGCTCTTGTAGTGTCAAATTTAATGAAATCTTCTACACTATGTGAAATATTCTCCAGTTTGTACTCGTTTTACCATATTCGAGCATTACATTTCGAAAACAAGATGATCATAAAATACGTCTATTGCCTAAAAAATATCAGATCATAACTGCATTTTTGCATTGAACGAGTACAAACTAGACAACATTCCACGAAATATAGAAAATTCTATTTAATTTAACACCATAATTATGGACGAGTAAGGAGATTCATAATTGATGAGTTATAATTACTTAAACTTGAGAAATTTTTTTCGTAATTTGACGTTACATCAGGTCGACAGTAATTTACCATAGAATTAAATTCATTTCAAAAATCAAACAAAAATATGAATAATAACGAACAAAAAGTAATAACAAATTCTTACTATTAATTACTTCAAAATGAAGAATATTATTATATTTATGGAACACTTATTAGCTATTTAATAATAACACCATACAAATAATTGAGCTGTAGTAAATTATTTGTTGTTCAAATAGTTTTCAAGTGACTTTAGTGTTTACTCAATTGTTCACCAAACAACCCTTTCAATACACCTTCTAGATGTTTCTAGAATAAATTAATTAAAAAAAAAAAGGAATAAAAAAGAAAAGGAAGAAGAAGACTACTGCTCAAGCAACTCAGCTACAAAAATTTGAAAAAACTGAAGTCAAAAAGAAAATCTATGACATTAGCAATTTAGCAGTACTTCTCCGAAAAGTTGCAAATGGAGCAAAAAAACATAAAGCATTTCTTGCCTTACGATTAAAAAACGAAACGAAGCTTCTAAAATCTCCGATACTTCTTCGTTTAGAAACTAATACTCATCAAACATCTGGCTCTCGTACTGAAACGGGCAAGTTCAACTCCGGTTCCACTTCACCGAGAGGAGCGAAAAACGAGGCAACCATGTCATCGCTTACGTCATCCAGCTTTGGTGGACCCCACTGAAAATTCAAAAAACAATAACCAAATTATTAAAAACCTCGTTTTTTAGTTTGTTATTTTTTTTTCCCGAAAAAGAGGAACTTCTAGAACATCAAACACGTACCTTTGGAGCGAAGTCCTTATCAACTAATCTTGCGCGCACACCCTACAAATTGCGTGAATAAGCGATTCTTGAATATTGAAATAAAGTTCCTCTAAAATTGAATAAAAGTTACTCCAACTATTTGTCTTTTTGGGATAGCGCTACGTATTAAGAACACTAATAAATATGCATGGATTCAAGGCTTTCAATTAAAAAAATATGAAAATGACTAAAATACCCTTCTTATTAATTGTTTCATCATTAATTATCTCCTCGACGAACTAAGAATAGCAAGGGCATAATTTGCCCAACGTGTGCAATAACTGAATCATTGAAATTATAAAATGACAAATAATTTGAAAAAAAAAATAATAATTATCGAAAACGACAATATAATTTGGCACCGAAGGAGTATAAGAAGGTACCTCACTAAAATCATTCGAGATTTTGTTGGATATAAATTTCAGAGACGTACGATACTCTCTAGCGAGGCATTGGTCAAGTGTCTGAAATCTACCTTCTCGAATCTTTAAATTTGGCACGTACCCAAAAAAGAAAAAGGTTAAATATCTCAACTTTTTAAAAACCAAATAGAAGCTTCTATTATAGCATAAAGCAACTTCTAGAACTTACCGATTGTAAAGTCACTTTCAAGCTCAACGGAGAAGCTTCTTTAATTTTGTTTAACACCGTAGCGTACCATTTATCACCAGATTCAGCTGCCTTGTTTTCCTACCGGAGAAAAACGGCACATACATTTTTTAAATAATACCAAAAGGAAATCAAGAATACGAATTTTCTTTTAAATAAAGAAACTCACTAAAGCTTCGACGATTTCTTCCACGGTATCATAGCAGAAATACGAGTCGATTTTTTTAATCCTGAATCACCAAAACGAAAAAGTGGATCGATAGTCAATCATCAAATGTTGTAAACCATTGCATATTAAAAAACAAAAGATTTCTCCGAAATAATTAATAAAATAAAGCAGAAGTAAAGAAAAAAAAATTACTCGTGAAGAACACTAGTTCCATCGGGGTAGACTAAGCTACCGTACTGAGCAAGAGAAGATTCAATTACAGAGCGATCATCGGTTATTAAACTACCGAGGCGTTCTTCAATCCAAGGAAGTTTCTGTTAGGGAAACATGAAAATGCTCGTTAAAAAAAAAATATATATATATATAAATAAATAAACGAGATATAGGGTGATATTGGAAGACGAACTTCCTTCAACGAATAATGTGTAGCGAGACCACAGGCCATCATTTCAGCACCGTTTATCTTTTCTCCCGTGAGAGCTAAATATTCACCTGCATAAAAGTTCGATATCGACAATTTCACTTATTTATTATTTCCTAAATGAGACGTTTATACTTAATATAATAATGCAATAAAAATGATACCTAAATATCCAGGGAGACGAGAAAGATAATATGAAGCCCCTACATCGGGATGAAACCCTATTTGAACCTCGGGAGACGAGAAAACCTGCAATTCGCAAGAAACTTCACTTTTAAGTGGGTCCCACAGAACCCAAATTTAATAGAAAAAAATTCCACGCCCGAATTTAAGTTGAGATTCTATTTAAAATTAATGGAAGTGAAAATGAAGTTTGATAAAAAGGATACAATTGAGAGAGCAAATATCATACGGTTTTATCAGTTACAACGCGAAACATCCCGGGAAGTGAAATACCTGCCCCGCCTCCCATTACAACACCATCCATTATAGCCACCTGCCCTTATCACAAATTACCGACAAATGATTTAGCTTAAGTAACAACTCTTGAAAAAAAAAAATCAACCGAAACCGAAATCGAAACCCGAAACCCAAAACCCGAAACCCAATAAATTTTACTATTGAATGATTTAGCTAAAGTAAGTGATAAACGAACTCACGTGTGGCTTAAGATATGTTCCCAAAACATAAACGAACTTGTACAAGCTCTCGAAGAATGCTTTGCATTCCTCAGTTTTCCCTGGCAAAATTATATTAAATAAATAATCCACGAAAAGCGTAAGAAAAAAATCACATTCCGCCACTCTCGAGACCATCTACGGCCGATTATCGAAACCTAGTTTTTATTCAAGTTCATCATGGAATCGAAATGCTGAATCGGTTTACCCTTTCTTTTTTTTTAATAGTGTGTCAATAAAAAAGCAGCTAATGCTCACTAGTTGAAAGAATAAACGCATACTATTAAACAAAATTAACCGTTGTGCTTCAATCAAGCTTCGATTTCGAACAGTCCAAAATTTTACGAGTACCAACCTTCATTAAGAAGCCGATACAGTGCAACGACGTCTGTGCCAGAGCAGAATGCTCCTTGACTACCCCCCTTTAAGATCGAAAGATCAAATTTTCAGACGAGAAACGGGAATTATCGTACGATGGAGGTGAAATCGTAATACGGTAAAGTTACCTTCATCATGACAAACCCTATATCCGAGTTTTCCTCCCAAGATTCGTATAATCTGTTTAACCGAGCAGCCTAGCATTATTGCAGAATTATTATAAAAATGAATCGATTAGTTTAATCATCAACAACCCCGCAAAGCTTAACAACGAAATATTTCGAAAGAAGGATTTTATTCGACTTTTACAAAATCGATAAATCAGCGAAAAACGGAACAACGGACACGGGATTTACCATAGAAGCAGTGACAGCATTGAGTGAAGACGGTCGATTTAGGATCGCCTTTCTCGAATTAGCCCTACCTTCCACTAAAACCTGCAATTAAAAATTCAAAACCAAATTGGGGCCATTTAATTCAGAAATTCAATCTGGGTTCCCTTCAAATTTCATTGCAAGTTCGTAAATCAAAAAAAAAAAAAAAAAAAAGAAGCAAATTTACTTCAAAAAACCTACACAAAGGAATTTCATTAAGTGAAATTTTAAAATGGCTGATCCCAAATACATTTACTCTTTCATGATTATCAAACATACGAGATAAATGTAAGACTTTAACCACATGAGATAATTAAATAAAATAAAAAAGTAAAGATTGAGAAACTGTACCTCTTCTTCTTGGAGATAATCGGGTTGGGTATAACTGGGGAGAGCAGAAAAGCTTCTAACAAAGCCATTCCTATGTAAACAGCGGCTAATCGGCACGAGAAATTTGAGTTTCTGCATTTCTGTAAGAAGAATTAGTGTCTGTAATTTGGGTGTGTTAAGTGTATTTGCCTGAGTTTTCTCTTGCGGCTCACTCTGAGTTCTATAATGGGGTTCGGCAAAGAGAAACTCGAATGCTGTGGAAAATTGCAGTTGCACCCTCAAAGTTTCTGATTATATTACTTTTGGCCCATTGGCTTTCTCAATTCTCACAGTTGACGCCAAGTTATATTATAAGGTCGAATTTATTTCTGGGCCTAACTTATGAAGTCCAGTTACTTTTGGGCATAATTAAATAAGGTGCAATCGCAAAAATTGCTTAGGGGAAGACCAAATCTAATTTTTCACCAAATAAATTACTAAAAGACTATTATATCCTTATTAGAATACAAATATCACAATTACAAATTTCCACAATTTTCTTTGTGCAATACCACACCAGCAAAACCCATTTTATCTTCCTCACAAACTCATTTCACACAAATTCTTCAATAAAAATTTCTTCATCTTCTCCAAAAATTTCCAACACCCAAAACCTCCTAATCTTACTAAAACATGTAAACAGATAACATTATGGCGTCACGAGACATCAATATGGAGAATTCTATAGAAAAGGTAGAAAACAAACTATCAATGAATGTATTTTTATAGTTAGGTGATCGATTTTTTAAGTTTTCAAAAAAAAAACCGCGCAGTCATAATTCGACATATACATGTCGATTTTTGTCACAAAATTCGACATTTATACGTTGATTTTTTAGGAAAAAAATGACATCAACTCTAGATGTTGATTTTTCGCCAACAAGTCAACATCTAGATTTTTTGTCAAAAAATCGACATGTAAATATCGATTTTTCAAAAAAAATCAACATGTACAGGTCGAATTTTCTCCTTTCTCTTTCTTCTTCTTCTTCTTCTTCTTCTTCTTCTTCTTCTTCTCTTTCTCCTCCTTCCTCCTTTCTCTATCTTCTTCTTCTCTTCCTCTTCAAGCACCGGCGGTTGGGCGGCGGAGAACAGTGGCAATTTTTCTCGCCTTGTGTTCTTCTCTTATATCACTAGAGCATTCCTTCTCGTTTTTCAGTTTCTTGTTTTTTCTTTTTCTTGCAATAGCAATTAGGTCTTTTTTGACCTTTTTTTAAATTAATAATATCAAAATCAATATTGAAGTTATATTTATAATTTTCAGTCTTGCTCTTAGTAAATTTATTTATATTTTGTTCTTGCATGTAGTAAGGTCTTGCTCTTAAAAAAAATTTGAGATTGCCTTAAAATAATCCTACCCATATATAAGTTAGGTTATCATTAGAGGGTGTGAATTGATTTATTCAATCATTTTTTTTTATGTATTCTCAAGATTCTCTACTTTTTTCGAGTTTGACTTCAGTGTCGAACGATTTTCGTGGGGACCAAAACTCGGCGCCCTAATGCATATTATTTGCCGACGCCCCACTTGAATGTTCGGGAAGTGTTTGTGAGGTGTTGGAAGACAAACATACAAATTAATATGACATTGTTTTTATTTCGTTTGCCAACACAAAAAATAAACATACAAGATTATGCGACACTAGTATTTTAACCCGTGAGATGCACGGATGTAATTTGAAAAAATGGAATATGCATGGTTTAAAAATATTAACACTAATTCTAATACTACTATTACTATGACCTCACTGCAAATTGCAAGTATACATTTTCACATAAATTGAGACATCACTATTTTAATCAAGTGGAGTTTGTAAAATTAATTATAGTTTGATTCTTTCGTTCGTATAAATTAAAAATATAGTTATTCTTGCACCGAAAAATAACCGAAAAAAAATCTTGAAACGACTAAAAAACAATATAGATAATCGGTTAGTTTGGCCGGGCTGAAATCCGAATCGAGGTTAAGTTGTACGAATGCTGGCGCTTGATTTCTTATAAATAGGCCAACTAAATCAATTCTAACAAAATTCTGAAAAAATCGGAAAATAAGTTTCGATTTCGAACTTTAGTTGGATTTTAGTTTAAGTAAAAGACCACATCATATTTAAACTGCCACAAACCATATATATAACCCTAACTTATAATAAATAATTCAGGAAAAAAAAAAAAAATTAAAAAAAAAAAAAAAAAACAGCGAAAACGAAAGATGTACATACATATATATGTATGCATAGATTGAAAAACAGGCTACCTAAGTTCAGAATAGAGCAATATAACAAAAACTCCGATGCATCCGGCTCCGGTTTACTTGCGGTGGCGGAGGTCGTCTGGATCCGCCGCCCGTCTAGCTTCGGGCCTCCTCTGGCCGTAGTAGTACCAGATCCCGCCGGCGACGGCGAGGCCGGCGGCAGCCATGGCGTATGGGTTGTAAGGCATATTCCGCCGTATTCCGCCGCCCATGGGGTTGTGGCCGCCGGCCGTATTCTTGTTCATGTCTGCAGTTCCTGCCATTTTTTCTTCCCTTGGTTGAATGAATATTATTTTCTAACGCAGTTGATTGTGGGATTTTTGGGTGTTGCAGAAGGTGAATTTAGATATACATACATACATACATATATGTGTGAGGTTTTTGCCACGTTGGTATTAATGGCGGTGGTGATCGGTGGGGGTGACTTGGCATACACACGTGTCGTTTTTCTGGATACGTTTCCCTCACACGTGTTACTTTGGCTGGACAACTGTTGAATCGTGTGTGTTATTTTTATTTGTTTATATTTCGCTTTCCCATTGTACTTTGCCTTGATATCACTTTACCCCCTCTTAATCGCGATTGCATTTATTTCTCCACTACATTCAAAAAATTGTCCCCTCTTACTCTCGATTGCATCGATTTCTCCCACTACATTTGAAAAATTGTCTCAATGTGGCCGTCGCTATTAATTGTTGGCCCTCGCTATTTGCTGTTAGACATTTGAATTATTAACACCGTTTGATCTAAACTTTGAAATTACTAAAACGTCACATCTCTCAATTTAAATAATTATTAAAAAAAATAAAAAAAATCAAGACAACAAGAAAACATAGTCTACGACGCCAGCCACAATTTATTTATTTTTAATTTTTTAATAATTATTTAAACTGAGAGGGGTGATTCTTTTGTAATTTTCAAGCGCAGATCAAATGATGGTAAGGTCAAAGGTCTGAAAATTAACAGCGAGGGGCACAGTGAAACAAGCTTTCAAGTAAAGGGGGCAAAACGATGTAATCGATCGTAGAAGAAAGTAAAGTGATATCGAGCTAAAATACAAAGAGGGAAAATGGAATTTAGGCTTTTTATTTTGGGGTAATATGCTAAGAGCCCCTCAAATGAAACTTAATTTGAACTAAATAACAAGTTCAAATCCAATCTTTTAATTAAATTCTTAATTTGACATAATATATCGCATACATCCTTAATTATTTTTTATCCCTAAATTACCCTTTTAACCTAAATATTTTAATCTACATATTCATTCACTTTTTTTTAATTAAATTTATTTATATTTCTTCTCCCCTCATTCTCTCTCTAGCCCCTCCCTCTCCCGTCTCTTCCTTTCTCTCATTTTCTCTCCCTCTCTCTCCATCGCTTTCTTTCTTTCTCTCTCTGTCTCTCATATTTTTTTCTCTTTTTCTCTTTCTCTCTCCCTTTCTCTATCCCTTTGAACTAGTCTTTTGATTGGAGAAGCAAACGGGGGTGGCGGCGGACGAGAAAGCGGCGGCGGAGTGGGCAGATCTTAATATTAAGGCGGCGGCTGCGGTTGCGGTGAATCTATGGTGAAGGCGCCGATGAAGTGGGTAGCGGTGGCGCGTCGGATCTATGGTGGAGGCGGTGGATCTGAAGCGGCAATGGAATGCGTAGCGGAGGCGACTTCGAGGGTGACGCTGGCCCAACAGCGGCGCTCGTAGTTCGAGAATGGTGTTGGTGGTGCGGTAATGCGCGGATAGGTGATGGCAACGTGAGTGGGGTGGTGGTATCCTTAGAGGTGTGGATGGGGGTGGGTGGCCTTCGGCGTCACGGATCTAGGGTTTGGTGGGTGGATCTAGGGTTTGGTGGGATGAATCCAGAAAAATTCGATTTGATGTCTATGGGTTACTATGAGTGCCTGACGGCTAGGGTTAAAAGGAGAAACTAGGGTTTCAAGAATATGCTATCAAAGATGTCTACGGATTACTACAGGTTACTACGGATTACTACAGTTTCCTATAGTTTCCTATGGATGTCTATACATGATTGAGACCGATTTTTTTTTTAAATTCATAATTTTCAATATCACGTAGAAAATAATGGACACACCTAGATTCTTAAAATACTGAAAAAATACGAAAATGAATAAACAAAAAGAGTAAATGTGTTGTACGTAAAAAAAATAATAAAAAAATGTTCGATGCAAAATGAAAATGTTAAATGAATAATAAAAAAATGATAAACACAGTTTAAATGTTACTTGATGCAAATTTCATATTTGTGTGTGAAGGGCATTTTTGGAATAAAATTTATGAAGGATGTGAAACAAATGTTTAGTTAGACTTGTCATTTAGTTCTAATAAGTTTTGTCACCAGGGACCTATATCCTAAGACCCCTTTTATTTTTATTAATTAATGGAGAGAGTGTATTGAAGAGTTAAGAAGGGCATAATTGAAAATTATGTAATTATGTTGTACGGAAATTCTCAAAGTGACGATAATATGGAACCAAAAAAGAATCTTAAAAGTGACGGATATTGTCGAACAGAGGGAGTAAATAATTAAAAACAGAAAAAAGGAAAAAAAAAAAAAAGGAAAATTCTTCTAGCAAGAAATAGATTGTGTACAAAAGTAAAAGTTGGAAAAAGCGTTGGAGACACAAAATAAATATATCTCCTATAAAAGCGCGTTTTACAAATCACTTGAGTCCCTCGCTTAAACCCGGTGGCATTCCCAAACTCTGAGCTAGATTGCTCATTCTGTCTTTCATCGCCTATTTTCAACAACAATCGAATTTCCATTAAATATATATAAACTCTAAAAATCGAAGAAATAAGAAAAAAGATTGAATTAAATTTAATTCCGATTATACTTGTCTTACCAGAACACTCTTCTGGTGTGCATCTCTGTACGCCTCCGTCACAAGAAGCGAGAGTTTCTGTACGATTAAAACATTCCTTTACTCCATGGAAAATAATCGAACGAGAAAATTACTTAGCCGTTAAATAAAAAATCATTGACTCGGTCGAAATTTCAAGAAACGAGAATTGATTTACATATATTAATTTCGAACAAAACTTACTTCGGGTCCCAATTCCATTGCCGCGTCGGTTATGTCAATACGAACAGGTTGTTGATTCCCAGAGAGTGTTGCCTACGAAAAAAAAATCGTCAAACTATAGCATAACATTTTAAAAAAATAAAATAAAAATCGAATCTTTTAAATTAATCATGAAAAAATATCTCGAGAATGTACCTTTATAAGCTCACCTTCGCAATAACCCTCAAATTCAGCTCTGCAAATTTCGACAGTAAAATCGGAATAAATTATGTACGGGGAGAACCCAAATATTATAAATCAAGAAAAATGAACGTAAATTAAAAAAAAAAAAAAAGGAAAAAAATTCGAAATGTGGAATATATACACAGCAAGTTCTTTTTGCACCCGTACTGCTTCGACTTGGACAACCATCTGAGCTTTCTTTACGGTCTCGTATAAATTTTGCATGTTTCCTAATATTCCTGCCTATTATTGTCAAGCACAATTATACGTTTAGAACACCTATAAAATGACGAGAGTTGAATAATTATCGGAGGGGTATATTTGTCCAAGTGAGTAAATCTGAAGTACCTTTGAACCATCGTCGCCCTTTTCGTTTTCTTTCTTTCCGCCGCCGAATAATGCGTGTACGCTAAGAGATCTTTTAGTCTTCCCACTTTGACTTACTCGGCAAGACAAATTTGGAAGACCGACAATATTTGCATTCTGACGTATTTTATCTGAAATGCAATATAAACGAACATAGATTATTGCAGCAGAAATTGCAAAATGAGATCATCAAGACAAAATCAAATTTAAAAAAAAAATCATATCATGAAATTCCAACTAAAGATGGTAAAAAAATCTCAAGAATTATAAAAATTAACAAAAGGGAATATCGTGGCATCGATAAAAAGGGAACATCATATCATTATTTTTAGTTGGGTAAATTACGGTTAACCCTCTGAGGTAATGTCAAATTACGAAAAAATCCCTCTTGTTTGGGTAATTACAACCACCCCTCAACTATGAATCATCTTA